ACCCTCTGCCTGAGAGGGTGGCTTATTTAGAAGCCTACTTCAGAGTTGAAAGACTAAATAAGCCTGGGTTAGGGCAAAGGCTTACACAGCTTGAAACTCCTATTACAAATCTACTAGAATCTTTTTAAAGCATTATTAGAACTTCCCTGGTAGGGAAGTTTATCTGCTTCCAACTAGTTTTAAGATTACAAGTTCTATCTACCAACAAAAACCAAAAAACCAAAAAACTAAAAAACCAAAAAACCAAAAAACCACACAGAGTTTTATTATGTCTTTACTACTCCCTAAGCTCTTTCTTTTCTTTACAGTATTTCAATTCACATGTTTTTGCCTTCTCAGGATGGTTGAAAATGGGAGGGTAGCAAAAAATAACTACTAAAATTACCCACAAGCTGAAAAGAAGGCTTTACCAAAAATACTTAAACATTAACTTTGCAAAAATAAGACTCTAAAGATGATTTATTGTAACATGCAAATGTATTAACAGGAAGTGAGTGTACGCATTATAGGTCCCTTCAGACCAGCAGAGAAAAGCAAAAGAGAATAAAATTCAAAATGTTGAAGCAGTCTTTTTAAGTGGGAGAAGAATTTAATCTTTGAATAGGCCAAGGCAAGTAAGATTGCCCACCTCTCAATTTATTCACCTCTCAAAACTGGATTTCATACAGGAGCTGACTAATGAAATCACATGGCACGTAAGAGAAAAGGAAGACCAAGCAAACTATTTAATAACCTCTTCTGGTCTAAACTCCAACATACATTCATTTGATTACTACAGTACAGACCATCTCCTCTTTTAAGACTAATAAAACTTTTTTTTTTAAACCATTATTTTCCGTTAAGACAGATGACGTTTTCTTAATTCCTGTTATTTGGGCAATAAGTTACAAATTTACCACAGGAAGAGTTTGGAAGATTTAAATTTTTTTGGCTAACAAAAAGAGGTATTCTACACTGCTTTTTATGCATGCAATATTCTTTGTTATAAAGACAATGCAAAGAGAAACAGGAATGAAGTTCTGTTATCATCCGAATACAAAGTCTTCACAAGCAAACTACTAAAAACTCAAAGGCCTAAACCTCAAAGCAGCATGCTCTTTGGGAAGAGACACAGATAGAGCAATGAAAGCTCTAAACTATACCAACTGTCAAAAACATCCAGTTTCAACTCATATGTTTTTAGCCCTATTCACCGTAAGAGTATGAATTTTCTTAGATGGCTTTTCAGGCACATTTAAGGGTGAATTTTCAAAAGCACTCGGTTGGTTTAACTCATCTTCACTGAAATCAGAGTCTTCTGATCAATAAGTTAGTGTCCTACCATTGCTTTATTTTCTTATGAATTTCAATTATCTTCACTTCCAAAAAATCTAGAACAGCAAAGACTGAGATGGTCATAACAAACATTCTAAAAATCTAACAAAGCATTCTGCAGTCATCCTGCCTGACAGTGAAGATTTGTATACAATTATGATAAAATCAATTTTAAATATTAATTACTAACCTAATTCTATCAAGATAGGATCTAGTAATGTTATCCATTGTAATGATCGCTTCAAACTTCTCAAAAGTCTCCCTGACACAATTTTCATTTTTCCCCTAGTATATTGTTAATTCAGTGCAGTTTGTCTTCCAATGTCAGAACTAACAATAAATATTAATTTATTTAATGAAGATGTAATCAAGCTGATATTCCAGCTCTCTAGCTTATGAACTTAAAGTATATACTTCCAAAATTCACCCTTCCAAAGTAGGAAGCGGGACTTCAAGTGCATAAATGCTTTGGACTGTAGTCGTCTTTTGTGGACGACTTATTCAGAAATCTGAATAAGACATTAACCTTGCACCTTTTTATTTTCGTATGTTATCAGAGATTCAAAATAACACCACAATTTGTTCAATACAGTTAAGTCAGTATCAGCAGACACTGCTACAGAAATGAGTTATCCTGCCTCTTCCACTTTGTACCACTGTCTTCTCTTGGAGTGGATCAGTATTTTGAGCAGTTTCTTTCCAAACAAGTAGAAGAAACTGGTCCAGCTAAAGTGCATAAATATTCTTTCCTCAGGATTACTTCTTTGGAGGCCAATATCAACTTAAAAGCATTTGGCAAATTGCAGCCTGAAAGCCAAAGTGGAAAGCTAGACACTATCAGGTCCTACCAATGCTGATGAAGTAACAGAGTTAATATGCATCACAAAAAGGAAAACCATGCAACCTACCTTTGGAAGCTCTTCAATCTGATTAGCATCTAAATAGAGTTCCTCCAAGGTCTTTTCAAAAGTAAAAATCTCTTTAGGCACCTGTTCCAGGCTGCAGTGAGAATAATCAAGCGTAGTGACTGTTTCCTCCTCTCCACGCAGACAGCGGCATGGCACCAGCCGCACAAACAAATTCCGCTTTGTTGTCATTTTCAGGCACTGTAAAAAGGAAATTGGTGAATTTGAAAACCTACAAGACAATTTCAGAAATACCTAACTGGGCATTTTCTCAAACTTCCCATGTCTGGTAAATACTTAAAAAGAAAAAAAGTGTGTGCATGTGTGTGTATATGTATATGTACAGTATATAGATATACAAGTACATACAGTATATACCTATAAATGTCTGTGTACACTTTTAAAAACAATAGATCTTCACACTTGCACTGAATGTGGTTTAACATACCTACAAACCCCAGTGGATTCAGTCAAAATTTAGTCTGTAACTTGTTACCTACCAGCATGGCACTAGATTGCACAGAAGAAGAGTTCTGAATCAACATTTCTGAAATGTCAGTTCTGTGTTTTTACGATATATCTTCTTATTCTAGCCTTTGCGAAGGTTATTAGATGATATTTTTGCTTACTATAAAAAATCCACCCTCTAAGGAGCATTAAAATTTAGCTATAAAAAAAGCTAAATTTAAGTAACAAATAAGATAAAATTCATATATGTTGATCTTAAATCCCTGATTTAAAAGACAGAATACAGCAGAGAACCAACATGGTTTCTACAAACTTATCTAACTACAGTTTAAAAGAAAAGGTTTCCAAGAGCTCAGGTAAAGAAGCTCCTTCAATTTCACGCAATCCCATTCAGTTTGGAAAACTTCAGCAAAGCACACTGTGCACACTGGAACTAATTAAGTTTCTTTTGTTATAGAGGTGCTTCTTTTTTCCTCTAAATTCAATCACTGCTACGATATTCCCTTCTAACTCCATGGTTCCTGTAACATTCCTACTCGGCAGAAGACAGCAAGTATAAATTGTGGAACCCTGCTAGCTCATTACTGACAAACAGCATCCACAAGCCATATTCTACCTCTTTCCCCTCAGCAAGGGCACAAATTTATGACGAACTCTTCTACAAAGCTCAGAAAAACAATCATCTTCAAAACGTCACCTCAGCTTCAAGCTGGGAGGAAATGAGCTGACGGACTCAGAAGTTTTGAGGAAGGACCCGTATATGCAGATAGGCAATACAATAATGTAAGCTTCATTTTCTCAGGAAATTGGGCTTATAACCCCATATTTTTCCAAAACACCACTTAAATTTTTTTTCAGCTCGAAAAGCCAACATTCCAGATTAAGATATGGAGGTTTAAAACAAAAAAAAAGGCAACAAAAAAATCCCACATATTTGGAAGCGTAAAATTTGTGTTCCGTCTTTGAGACTGGTAAAAGGGAATTTTCCTCTCTGAGCACCAAAAGGACCTTTCAGACACGTCTGACAGACCACACTTGAACACACATTGAGTAGGGCTAGCCAACAGAAACACAGGGAACAAGTAAAATAACAGAACCACTGTGCTATATGAAGTCACAGCTTGCATACAGTCCTCAGGCTGCAGGATCCTTATTCTTGTTAAAACAAGAAAAAAAGATTGCCATGCACTTGGATTTTTCCTCTTTAGGCAGCTAATGTGCCAAGTACTTCATAGTATGCATAATTTACATGACAACAGGCTGGGGAACTGCTGTACCTTACAATTTTGACTGAATAGAAGGATGACTATTACTGCTCTCAAGCTAGATGTACATCCATTAAAAGGATGGAAGAAAACTCTTCATTAAATGGTAGGATGTCAGGACTTCCCTTTTTAATAATATTTTAATGTTGCTAGGATTTTGTTATAGTGTTGATTATGTGTCAGAACACTTAATGCTTTCCATAAACCTCCATCCAGGTTATTTAAATAAAAAGTATCTAAAAATATTTAACTGTATTTCAGTGCAAAGGGTTTACAGCCTGCAGGTTCCCTGCTGGGGATTCCTACGGAGTGGGAAAGCCTTCAGAAGTGACAGTGGGTTTTTTTTGTTTTTGTTTTTCCCTTTTTCCCCTCCCCATCCACAGGAACAGGCTCCAGCCTGGCAACCTAGCAAATGCCAAAGATGCTACCGAAGCTGATGTGCTCATTGGGTTAGGGCTACCTCTGAGTGTCCTCAAAGGTTCAGAGGCTGCATATGAAGATACAAGAGGAATTCTGCCAACATTTACAAAAGAGTGAGCCTTTAACAAATTCTCATTTCGCTCCACACTATTTCAGAGCTCTGTAGAGCTGTGGAAGAACATACCACTTCAGAACGTGGCATCAACAGCAGTCTCCATCGACAGGATTATAAATGGAAGAATATGTGTTTTGAAAACAGTAAGAACTGGGAACAGAGATGACACGTGCAAATCAATTAACAGAAGTTTGACAGGGGAGGACACGTGTCTGTATCATACTAGCTTTAGCCAATAATTTTGCTTCTTACAGTTGTTTCAGCTTCTGAGAAGTATGTTTTTGTTTCCAGAACACAAGAAAAGTTAACTATGTTGTTCATAAAAAAGTAGAAATAAAATATCCTTTTTAATTTAAACCCCTAAACCTCCACAGTTTTTTCTAATTATACCTTTGAGAGAGCGCTTGAGCTTTTTAGGGTGTTGAGGAAGAAAGACTTCCAAAAAAAAAAAAAAAGGACCATGTGCCTCCACAGTATACCTCAAACATGGATCAATAACAAATGCCTGGGCAGCATCATGATGCTTTGTCATATCACAGAATGGTTGAGGTCGGCAGAGACCTCTGGAGAGCATCTGGTCCAACTCCCCTGTTCAAGCAGAGTCAGCTAGGGCAGGATGCCCAGGACCATGTCTAGTCAGGTTTTGGATCACTCTAGAGATGGAGACTCCACAACCTCTCTGCACAAGCTGTTCCAGTGTTCAACCATCCAAACCTCTAGTCAGTTACAGTGTCAGTTTAAGTAGCTAAACTCACAGCTTATATTCCAAGCCAAAACACTGAAATTTCACAGACAAATATCAAAAAATAAAACTACTCCTCGAAAAAAAAACCACCCACTACTCACCCAAAACCATTAACATTGATCAAGTTGAGCATACATCTTATTATAATACTTCAAAAACCAGAACGAAGTAGAGACCCATATTTAAGTAAATATTGGAAACCATGCAATGTAATTCAATTCACAGTTGTCTTATATTTGTTCATGTTTCCCTTCTAAACATGTTGAGCATCAGTGCTCTAAAACAGAGATGGCCTGCCAATACAAGGCAAGAGGTGCAGCAGGATCATCGCAACAAGTATTCTACACCAGCACCACTCTGCAAAACATACAGGTAGACACATACACGCCTATCTACTTCTGGTCAGTTGCCACGAGCTGAAAAGTTGCAATGAAGTAAAAGAAGGATGTACTAAAGAAGAGAGTCCACTACTATAACCAAAGACAGGAAAACGTGAGATTGCACAGAATATAAGCTTTTCTTAAATTGTTTAAAACAAGAGCTTCCCCATGGAAGGGGGAGAGGGAAAAGAAAAAACATCACACTGCTAACTAACGTAATTATCCTAACATACACAATTATATTGCCTAACATTTTTCTTTCTTTATAGATTTTGCAGTACAAGGAATCATTGAACTACTTCAACAAGAATTTATAAGAAGTTTGACTGAAGTTTCACTGCTATTTGTGAGTTACCAGTATAACCTGAAAGGATACATAAGGACACTGAAAGGATACTATACTTAAATCTTTCAGTGTTCTAAAGTTTCCAATTCAGTTCTTCCTCCTCCTTTTTTAAAAGGTAATCTCCCACGTTTCCCACATCAGTACTCTTGAAGACACATCTATCAAATAGGTATGCCTTCAAAACACCATATATGCTATATTTATTATTAGAGCATCATTGCAAATGCTCTAGTTATTATGAAAACAAACCTGCAAGGCAGCCAACAGGTAGGAAGCGAGAGAGGTATAAGTAAAAGTTCAAAATGAAGATTGGCCTGAGTCTCACTCACTTGCAGTTATAGTCTACCTTTTCCTAACCATTGCTATTTCTGTACTTTCCAGTGCTAATTAGCAGGTGCTGGCCAGCTAATTATCTCTGAACTTGACATGTCTGTTTTTACAGACTGCATGCTATTTTACAACAACAAAACAGACAAATTATGCTTTCAAATGCTTCAGTTGTTAAACTCTTCATATATTTAATTTTATTAGCAAAAAGTATTTTGCTACATTAGAAATCGTTCAGTGGTATTTGGAACAAATCCATATATTATGTTGCTGATAACAGAAAATCATTTATCAACCTTGTTAACTAAGGATTGAATTTCAGTGGTGATGTCAGCTAAAAAATACTGAAGTAACAATATTTGTGCAACTAACAGAATATCCAGAAAAACTTATTGAAGAATCTAGAGCAAAATATAATAATTCTACCACTTCGATGTTGTAATAGTGGACAGTATCCATAAGCGTTGAGACATCTTTACTGAACAGAGAAAGAAAAAAAGAAATTCCTAGAAGCAGAAAAGCAAAGGATCAGCTTGAAAGATCATGACCAATGAAAGAGAGACCAACAACAAGCTTGGATATGAACTAAATACTTAATTCAGAAGAGAGCACCATCCAGAAATATCACCGTTTCCTGGAACATGTGGATGATTCTCTGCACACTTCCATTTATCCAAGTACCTGGCAGCCTAATAGCAGATATTCCAAAACCCCATAGGACATTTTTGTTGAACTGCATGTCTAGCTGTGTTTCGATGAAGAGTAAAAAAAACCTCTTGAAATATTACTCTTCCTGGAAGACTCTGAAGTCATGCTTGTTACAAGTAGAATCTAAGATAATAATTTTTTTTCTCCTTAATCTCTGTTAACTTGCCATAAAAGCAGTAGTACTTCTGAACAGAGTTAGTTTCAATGTATTGTTTGTCATGTGAATCTTTTGTCTGATGCTAACAGGATGTGATCACTCATGCTCTATGCTGGTGAAAGCACTTTTCTCCCATCCCTCAAAAGGGTGTTTATCAGTCACATCAGCAGCAAAGCTGAAAATGAAAACAGCTATCAGATGTTTATACAGAAGGGAAAGAAGAAGAATTACACACAAAAGTATCTGTTCGGGTTCCTTTTAGCCCACTAAAATAGCTACAAATTTCAGAGTTGTGAAGTTTTGGATATGTAAACATATGAAAGGGAATGACGTGGGGGAAAAAAAAAAAACATGTACTGCAGCCTAACACACACAAAGCTGTTTATTTGGCCAGGTGAGAAAAGCTCCAATATATTCCTGTTGAAAAATAGAATTATGGAGAGAAGAAAAATATATTGTTTATTAAGAATCTTATTTAATCCACTAAAAACAAAATAGTTAATAATTTCTATTTCTCTATATTAAAAAAAGAGAAACTAAGGTTCCTGTATTGGAATCTAACATCTCTAAAGACAGACTGACATGTTTTGGGGCCTTCAAAGATGTTACGGGTTTTTCTCTACAACCAGTAAACTGAAAACTCCTAGCACACTATAAAATAACGTCCTCCAACAAGTGACAGCACTAGTCCCTTTGAATTTGGAGGAACTGTAAACGTCTTAATACCTTAACGAACTCCAGCATCCTCTGCTCTTACAGGAAAGCAATGATAGAATTATCCTTCATCTTCATTCTTTAATCTCAAAAATGGCTTGGCATCTCTTGCTTATCAGCAAATCACGTACAAAAGCTAAACGGTTTTTTGGACTTATTTTGTTTATTTTTTTTAAGGTTGGGTTCAGGTTTCCTCTAAGAGCAACCCACTCATCTCAGAAAGGATTCTAATTTAACAGATAGCAACTAGTATCCAGTAAGCTGTGACTGTGAAGTTTGTTTTGCAATAACCCTTTTTCTCATTTTCTCTATGACAGCTAAGTATGGCTTTCAAACCTGAAGGACATTGCTCAAATTGAAACATCAGAAGGAAGCGTATACTGTGAAGAGACTATCTCTTTATAAATGGCATTAGGATTCTCTGGTTGCGCTTTCAAGGCTCACTTGGTGACAACACCAAATTAAGAGTTTTTCCACCTCCTCCTGTCTCCCATCCAGGCTATTTGCTTCTGTCTTTTCTGGGGGAGGAGAGGTGTCAAAAAAAAAATTTTAACCAATTCATTTTTTATGTCATTTATTTTACAAAGAGATATCAGCAAACACTCAGGCAAGCACAAATCAATGAACCAAAGTGCTGCAATTTGGGGGAGAGAACAAGTAACTGGAAATAAAAGACTTATGTAAAAGGTTTTCTGGAACAATACCATTCTAACATGAAACTACAGCCTGAGCGTTGCCTGCACCTGATTATGAAAAGACTGCTCAACTGTTTGGTGGCTGGATGCCCTCATGCAGACAGGGAACACCAAAACTAACATTATAATCGGTCACATATAACATTGACAGCAATCGAGTAAAGTAAAAGGCCATTTCTCATGAAACAATGGTGAACGGTAACAGCAGAAGGAATATATTTTAGTAAACAAAACCAACTGCTCAATGCAAAAACTAAAAGGAATCTCATTAAACACATACGTATGCATATTTATATACATATACACATATATGTAATGTACGTATGTAACCCACAACAACAAGCGGCACAACACCATCACACCAAACTCCAAGGTGCAGGTCAGCAAGATAATTTCAGTAACTTCCAGAAGAGCAATATCGAGTGTGAATCCTGTAGACAGCATTTGCTCTACTCACCAAGTCTCTTGTATTCTATGGAGTAAATTCTAACTAGACTTGAATTTACTATTTTGTAAATAATTTTTTTTTTATTTTTTATTAATTTTATTTAAAGACCTGAGGTTCTTGCTCTAATTAATTATAGAACCTCTTTATGTATTTATAAAAGCGTTGATGGTGTTGGTATTTTCAACAACAGTGGGTTTTTTTGCTGTTTTGCAACTAGAGACTATCTAACCAGACTTGTTGCAAGTTAGTTTAGATAAACTGGAAAATAACTATGTTAAAAAAATCTGAGGAGTTATTATGACAAGTCAAACCCACCATAAGTATATCGAAAAGAATCTTTGGAACACTTACTTCTATTTATTTTCACAATTATAATATGGCAATAATATAACAGATAAGTCAGTACTTGGTCTTATCATACCAAAAAATTAACAACAAAACAATAGAATATAGAAACAAATTAACAACAAAAATATTTTTAAACTGATATAAGAAGCAGAAAATGCTTGATAAATACCTGCATAATAAGAAGATATTGTACTTTAAGCACAGACTTTTACTGAAATGTAGTAATAATCAGTATTCTACTATATTCTTAGACCAAGACACCAGTAAGGCAGAGCTACATGAGAGCACAGGTCTAATTTAAGGTAAGATCCATTACAGAAATATTCTTAAAAAAAGAGGGTAAGAAAAAAAATACAGTTTAGGTTTACAGTTATAAATTAAAATATGTTCAGATACCCAAATAACTGTAATGCTGATTTTTACACTAATACTGCACAATAACATACAATGCTTATTGGCACTTGTATGGTCAAACTGCTCTCATTTAAGAAGCGTATTAGAGTTCCCCACTGCCCCGTTATAATTACCTGGGGTGGTGTTGTGTAGTGATAACTTAGTTCTGACACATTTCTTTTTGCTTTTTCTCTAAAGGTAGCTCTGGAAACTAGCTTCCATCTGCACAGCCAAAACAAAGTAAGTGCTACTATAATAGCTCATCTGAAGAATGGTCTCTAATTGTATACCATTAACAGTGCTGCTGAGATTAGTATTAGATCTGAGCTTCCTTTCTGATGTTTGATTTGATTGCATATTCTCTGGGTAAGCGTTTGTAGCGTTACTAAGAGAACATTAAGATGAATAAACTGTTTAAAAAAATCATTGTGCTTGAGGGTTTTTTCTCCCCTTTCAAAAAAAAAATCAATAAAGCTATATAAATTCAAGCATATCTACTATCACAATCCGACATTTGAGGGAAACTTAGGAACCCCTCACAATTCACAGGAATATTCACAAACCTGAGCTTTTTAAAAGCTATGATATTGATGTTTCTTTTTAATGAATAAATATTTTCTTTACAACATGGAACTAACAGTTGTTTGTTCGGTTTTGGAGTTTGGGGGGGTTTCTTACTCTTGAATTTATACATAATGGTCAGGAATATGAAATAGTCTCATTATCTCACTAGGATAACTAAAGTGAACTCCGATCCCCATTCATCACCACAAAAAAAAAAGCAGAGCAGTACAAATAATCACAGCTACCGCACAACTGCTTTGTACCTATCTATTCATTTCTATATCAAATAGCTCAGTTTTCTTTTATTGCTACTGTGGAAGAGATCCATGGAGGCAAACAGGACAAGTCCTGATTTTCTATACAAAGGAAACGATGAAAATTAAATGCATAGAGAAACCAGACTAAGAAATGGTAAGCCTGCTGGAAGAGCTATAAAACCTTATTAAACTGCTTATGCTTTAGTCCTTTGGGGGATTATGTCTGTAGCTACTGTATGAGTAAATGCTGTGTATCACATACTGTCAACCTGTACTCAAGCAGAAAGGAAGAAATGCTGTCTTAATTCCACTAGTTATTACAACATAGTCAAAAGACCTAAATCAGTAAAAGAAAAGGAAAAGGAAAGAGGCACTGCAAGTAATTGGCCCATAGGAAGCTACAGTCCTTATGGAGCAATAAGCACAGCTGAGGCAGCACAGCAGTTTCTTCACTCAGGAAAGGATGCCGAAGCCCACACACGCCTACAGCACTGTGCACTACCTCAATGGCAGGAGAGAGCGAGCATGTGCATATGCTTCTATGTTCTTAAACTAGGATAATGTCACACATTGGTTGTAACAAGGCCAGATTTAAAAAAAAAAAAAGATTTTGGATGTTTTAAACTGGTATTTTATAATTAGGCTTTAAGTTACAGTGACTGATGTGTTGATATTTATTAGCTTTTTCACAATCTGAACAGCACTATTAATAACCTCAGAGCAGATGGAAGCTTTTTTTTTGGAAGACACTCCAGAGGAATTTATATAGGAAACAAATACTCTTTTGGGTATTCTTTTTATTCATGAGAAATACTTGCTTCTAGAATTCCTTACAATATGAGGCAAAGGCAACATCTGCACTGGCATCATTAAAAAAGAAAAAAGCTGATTCTCAAAAAGTGTTGCTTTTCCATAAAGCTTTGAAAAGGAAATTGAAGTTTATTTGGCCTCTTAATATTTTTGAGGCTTTTAAATATGATCTTAAACTAAAGAACATTAATATACCAGAAGAGAGAGAAATGACACAGTATCATGCCCCCCGGGCTTTAAAACTACACAGCAAAGGAGGACACTATAAGGCCCAACAAGCATTCAAAGCATTCTTTCAAACGTCTTTTATCAATGTTTTTTGAAAGTGGGCTTACCTTCCCCAGGAACTGAAGAAATATGTTTATTTTAAAAGGCAGTATAAAAAGTTAATGCTTTATAGGCCAAAACATTTAATAATGGATATTAAGCTTTAAAACAGACAGTTATTTTCCAGGTATCCTACAACTTAGTTTCCTACATATTGCCCTTTCTATACATACACAATTACATATAAATACACATCATTCATTTGGCTCATTCAACAGATATTTGTAACTACAAAAGTTGGCTTTAGAACAACATGAGAGTTTATGTAGATTAAAATCCAAGTATTTGAGTCGATTATTGCGACATATGAATCAAAAGAGGATTTATATTTTAATTTATTGTTCAGTTGGTCCAAAAGGAAGAAAATATGATACTTACCACTGTGTTACTTTTTTCTCCCTGCTGCTTCTTCCCTGAGCTTTCAAACCCAACATTCTGTTTAAGAAAAAGGTACAAAAATTTTAGTCAGCCCTATCCCTCCTGGATAAGAATAAATTCATATTTTGCTGTATTAGATATATTCATTTGGCAGAGTGTTTTTTTTTTCCCTTAAGATGCATATGTGTGAATAGTAGTATGAAAATTTCAGAGAACGCTAAATACTTTTTCAAAAACATATAAAAAATATATTTGGGGGAAACTACTGTGTGTGTAATATATAGTACAGAGCAACATCACTTTTTACCCTATTTCAGTTTTGATTTTATAGCATTCTGATAATATAGCATTTATTGCTATAAAATTTGTGTTTTATAACAATTAACAAAACAATACAACAGCACACTTCACCCATGAACTTAATAACCTAAGGAATTATTTAGAAAGTCACAACACATGTTTAACAAAGCATATCAGATAATACTATCTTTACTTAATTAAAATAATTATAACAAACAAAAACCATTCAACACAAATCTCAACTGAACACTGAATTATTGGCTGGGCCTGTAAGAAAGGCACATCTCTTCAGGGGGATTAAATATCACTGTGGTCAGAGAGATCATCTAACTGAGCAGAAAGTCACATATTACAACAGTTAAGGAGTCAAGTTAGCTGGAGTATAATTAGTCAAATTTGTAATGCTTAGACAAAAATAAAGTCGGGGGAGTGCAGGTAGTAACTTCATTCAAAGAGGAGATTTACCATAAATACAATAATATTCATTTCCAATAAAGAGCCTTCAAAAGCAGAATCAGCCTATCATAGAAAGTATCATAAATGTGTCCAAAAGTTTAGAAAAAACAAACAAAAATTAGACAGACTTCAAAATTGTTCCAGAAGCAGTGGAAGTTACTTGGTTTAGGGTAAGAATCAAGAAACAGTACCATCACAGAAGGATAAACTCCTTAGGAAGCCAGGATTAACACAACAGGATTGCACTGGAACCAACTTTTTACATGTTGCATTTTTGTTCATTTCAACAGTTACTGGTAGCAGTTTGTGTTTTCATACCAAATAGATTCTCACTGTACACTACTGGATAAACATGTTCAGTTATTTTCAACAGAAGGATGACCAGAATACGCAAGTGACATAGGAAAAAAGTAATAAAGGTAAGAGTAATACTGAAGCCTCAAGTCTTTGGGGTTTCCTGCTG